CTCCTTTGAGCAGCCATTTCCTCAGGAGTGAGAACAGGCAGGGGCTCCTCATTAAAGTCTGGCACAGTTTTGAGAGTTAGAAAAGAGGGAAGTTAACAAATACCATGTTGCAGATACTGCATTTCAAACAAGTACCCTGGTAAGGCCACACGAGAGTAACTTAAGAAGTTCAACAGTCAAAGAAGCTTTAAGAATGACTTTGGTAGATTTTATATTAACCCACAGATTCATTTTTGCTCCACTTCAAAATCTTTTGCTTGCAAAAAGAAGCGGACTAAATGTTTTTGAATCTGCCCATGGTGCTCTCTGAGTACAGTGGGAACATATAAACTCAATGTATTACCCCTATCATGCCAAGGAACAGCAGCGCTGTGCAATTCGTATCAAATTATTCACCATTCACTTTTTCTTTTAAAAATACAATTGGTTTTATTTGTGTTTTCTGAGTATTATTTTGCTATAAGTATCTCCTTCCTCAACATCAGATTATATTTAGACAGTAAGGACCCAGAAGTCACAACTTTACTTGACCATTAACTCGATAGTCAACAGCAAATGAAAATCTCAGTTTCCTGGTATAGATGTTTTAAGTAAAAAAATTTAAAGACAAAGACAGACATTTAAAGCCTGCAAAAGTTCTGTGTCCTGAACTGCATTTCAAAATTATCTCAGAGTTATCAAAATAGAACCTCACAGATGCTCTTTACATAAGACCAATATTTCCTTCTTACTAACAAATATGACACAAAGGATAAAACGAACTTCATGCAAGCAGCAGTTCTAGGTGAAAAATCAAATTAATTTTGAAGAAAGAATCTGAGGCCAGCCATTTCTGAGATTCTAATAGGTAAGAGTGCAAGCTTTGAATAATGGTTATGCTTTGGTGGCAACATGGTAATGAACATAGTCAAAAACATCCTGAACAAAATACACTTGAATTGCAAACTTCCTTGGGGAATGGCAAAATACTTTTCAGGTGTGTCAGTGATTTGGAAAAAAAAACAAAAAACAAACAAAATGTTTTGTTACCCTCTGCTTCCTCCATATCTTCTGTGTCCTCTTCTTCATCATGTGCAACATTGAGAACTGCAAAAACAGAGTGCCTAGTGTCAAGCACATAATAAACACTGTGAAATTTTAAATGAATAAATTATATACTTCTTGGCTACTATACCAGTTCCAGAATCTGTGTCTAACCTGGTTTTTCCACAGCTTGAGGAATTATGCCACTCTTGTCTTTGATGGGGAGCAGATGGATGAGTTCTTTTTCTGGCTCTGTTTGTAAACGTCTTGGCACCTTCTCGTATTTCTCAATCACACTTTCATGTTTTCGTTTCTTGACGTGAACAGGTTCACTGAAAAACACGAGGCAAACTAAATAAACCAGTCATGTAATTAGAAAGGAGCCATGCCTGACCAGCTGGATTGTCTGCCTCTCACCCAGGCCAGGGTGCTGTTTCACTTGTCCTTCCTCTCTCTGGATCCAGAGCCTTCCTTAACATGTCCCACAGCCTCTCTCCCTCACTGTGTCTTGACCTTCCAGGTGAAGCTTAACCAGGATGTGACAATGAGTGGGTCAGTGACCTTTTTTATCTACCCTACTCCATGGCTGCTTTTACCACTATTACTATCACTGTTCTACTCTGGCAAAGCCACACTTCTCTCTAATGACAAAGCAATAACACAGCATGGTGTGTCACCCTTTCACAGGAATGCTCCTGAGCTACACATAAGTGTACAAGAGGATAAGTATTTCGTTTGTGCTAATATGAACACACAACTTGTAAGTGGTGTAACACTGGACAGGTTTTTAAGACAGACTGCAGTCAACCAGAGTAAAGCACATTGAAAAGACAGCTCTCCAATTTAAGGGAGCACTATGAAAGGAACTAAAAGTCCATAACAGTAAAACAGGTAAAAGAGCAACCACTTCCACTGTTTTCCTACCATTCTAAAAACATTCTGGCATAATGATGTAGGACACAAAGAACTACATTTTGCAAAATATCTCTAAATAAAACCACACAATAAATTCCAAGTTTTGCAAGACTTTAAACTTATATCAAACCCAGTCAATTTGGGGAAAGGGGAAGGTTTAAAGCAAAATTCTTCCAGTTCAAGAACTTGCAGTGTGGCTACAAGAGACCATGAGGCACAACTGCAACTTTGTAAATAAAAGCCATTTACTACGTTCTTTTGAAACCAGACTAAATTATTAATTACTAAGCAGAATCAACATTAACAAATTAAAACCACCCTTCAGCAGCTAGGCATAGAGAGGCTCTCCACATCCATCAAAAAAGGCAAGCTAAGATTTTCAAACAATCATGTAACCAGACAACTCTGTAGAAATGCATTTGTAAAGACTATTCTACAAGTAGGAGCACTGCCTTTCTACAAGTATCACTGTGAACTCTACCCAATGCCTTGGTGCACAAAACTAGTAACAAAAATTTTGTATGAATGTTTTAGTGTTGCAGTGTTTACAGCATGGCTTACAGAACCTCTTTTATTTTTTTCCAGCAATTTGCAGTGCAATATGTATAGTGGTCAATAGTTCAGGGAATGTCCTGAATACTCTATACAGGAAAAAAGACTGTTCACAGATTAAAGCATTTCTTTCAGTTTGAGGGATGCTCCTCATCTCATAGCCAGGGACCTCCCAGGAAGGAACACTGCAGAAACAGTATCCTGAAGGTCAGGCAGAGCACCTGAATGCACTGACACACATCAATACATTAATACTGAACTACTGACAGGCTGAGGTAACACTTAACTGGAGCTGCAAAGAAACCCCAGACTGAAAGAGACCTCCTGATAAACGCATTACTTTACATATTAGTTACATATTAATGACACAAGGCTGAATTAGTATGAAAAGGAGACATTGCAACTCACTTAGAAGAAAGGTCTCTGGTTAAAAAGGATGCTTTTTGGGCCAGATCCTCCATTAATTTTAAGTCATCTTCATCCATCATGTCCAGTGGAAGAGCATCTTCTTCTTCTTCTTTTTCTTCCCATTTTCTAGCTATTTTTAAAGATGATGTTTACAGATTAAGATCCCATATGTATAGTCACCCTTGAAAACCTAACCCTGCCCACACTTTTGAGACCATTTTATGCCTTACTTTTACCTGGAGCTCATTGACCTTTATGCATGTAGATTTTGTTATCCCAAAAAACTGCTCCTTTACTATGACATCCAATAACGATCAGTGCAAACACATTTCTACCATTTTTAACTGACAATTCTAGGTGCCAGAATAGCTAGATTTTGTATTTTTCACAGGTCTCCCGTTCTTTCAACAGGAACAGCAACTATTTGTACACAGAAAATGAAGTCTTGTTTTCTCAACTTTTACAACAGGAAGCAGCAGGTAACCCCCATACCTAAGCAAACACTTACCAACTTGTTTCTTCTTGCTTTCCTCCAATGGAAAAGGCTTTCTAGAAATAGCATCTCTGACAGCCTCCCTTAGCTTCTTTTGTTCTTTACGATACTTCTTAGCAGCACTCTTCTGCTTGTACTGTTTATTCTTTAATTTATTGTCAAGTTTTATTTGACTAGTTCTCAGTAATTTGCGAAAACTTGGAACTCGCTTTGTGTTTTTTCTCTAGAAAACAAACAAAAAGCTACAAGTCACTGACATGTTAACAGCCTTTGCAAAATTTATTCCACTGTTTAAGATCTCTGAGTTTCTATTTCTATCAGGACTGAACAATATTTCTTGCTAACAGTATCATCAGTTAGGCTCAAATTTACACAATTGTGTCACATCTTTGAGAAGAGAGCACTGTGACAAACGTTTTACAGAAACATTCTCTGACAACTTTTTTATTAAACTCTATGTCCATCACTTTTAGACATATGGACACCCAAGGTATAGCACACAGCTTGTTAGGGTGCAGTTCTTTGTGTGCTCCCAAGCACTCCGTTCTCTTCTCAGGGTGCTGCTGTCACCCAGCACATGATAAAATACCTTGGGGAACGTGAAAGTCCAAGGCCACAGCCTCGGACAAACGTCTCCTGCATGACATCTCCCCAAGCTGAGCTTTGGCTTTCTCCTGCCTGAAACTCTCCCTGCCCAGCAGCTGCAGGGACCTGGCGAGGCTGCCTGCTGCAAGGCTCACACCAGCAGCCTTACGAGAACAGGGTAACGGGGAACAGAGCCCGGGGAGGCACCGTGGGCTGAGAAACCGGGCTCGGAGAAACCCCGGAGGCGAAGGGTCAACACATGCGGGCCGTGCCAAACCTGCAAAACACTCCCAAGGGTGCTCGGGATGGAATGGACACGGCAGGGATCACGTTTAAAGGGGCACGGGAAGGCAAGGCTGTGCAGAGAAACTGGGCATCGAAGCGCCCTTAGGGATGATGTGTCCCTTTACAAAGTGGCTGGATCAGCGTGGGGTTCCTCAGTTTGTTGGAGCATGGTGCTAAAAACAGCAAGATTGCGAGATCACTGCCTGTACGGGCCAATCAATGAGCTGGGCCCCACGACCCTTCCGGGCCCCTTCCAACTGAGAAATGCCGTGAATCTGTGAATCCGGAATTTTTGTCAGCTCAACTTTAGCTTCCCTTTCCACGCTGGATTATCGGGAAGGCGCTAAAAGGTCTCATCTCGAGAGACGAGCCTGCGCTGCGCCTCCGGTGCCCACCCATAGCCCCCGCACTGCTCTGCCGTTCCCCCAGAGCCCCAAGGCCGCGGGGGCACGGCCGCTATCAGCCACGGCTCCCGGTCCCGCCCGTCCTCCCGTGCCCTCCCCGCCCGGCCCGCTCCCCTCACGGCCCTTACCGGCTTCATGGCGGCGGCGCGCGCGTGCTGCCCGCGGCGGAAGCGCTCCCCGCGCGGCGCGGCCACAGCGCCCCCTGGCGGCGGAGGCCGAAGCCGCCCTGGCCGAGCAGCGCCGGCCCCGCCCCCGGCCCCGCCCACAGGGCCCGGCCCGGCCCGGCCGCGGACCTGAAGGGAACTGAAGGGAACTGAAGGGAAGGGAAGCACAGGCCCCGTCTGCTGTCAGTTTTATTTACACAGGAATCGGTACTAGTGGTCTTAAAGGAAGGCTTGATCCTTCTATTTACAGTTATATACAGATTTATAGTTGAAAAGTAAGAAAACTGTACAAGATAACACAAAAATATAAGACAAATTGGATCCAATTAAAGTAGTGAATACATAAGTTAAGAAAAATCTGACATTTACATTTCAAATTGTAATGTTATGAGTAGCATATATGTAGTTTTTAAACCAGATAGCAACGCAAGTTACACCACACTAAATTTTTACCCCGATTATGCAGACTCTGCTTTTAAAACACCAGACAACTGGAAGCCTCCTGCACTTAAAAATACATAATGGTATTTTTTACTTGATTTCCAGAGGGACCAGTTACAAAAACCCACATGTAAGGAATTTATTTACATTAAATATTAGCAAAAAACGGATCAAGAGAGTGCAAGTGTTCCTCACCTGCAGTGCTATCCATTTTAAATTTCTGTCCCCTACAACCACAGGTTGTTATACAGCATCTTCAAGAACAGGAAATGTTTGAAAATATTTGCTGTGACACGTACAGTATGACCTTATGTCTCACAGTTAAAAGATGTTAAAGAATTATGTATCACTAAACCAGATGATTTTTGGATTTCAGTATTGCACACTAATAAAAAGACAGTTTCAAAAACAATTCTGTGTCTGCATTATTTCCAAGTGTTAAAAGTGGCTGCTTCTTTGAGAACACACAAGCCTTTAGATAGCCTTGTCATTTTCTAGTGTTCACCATTACATACAAGTATTTTTTATTTGGAAATGGCTCGACAATATAAAACTTCTGGTGGCAAAACCCTTTCACAGAATACCCACTCCATTTACTCCACAACCAATACACCAAAACAAATGCTTAAACACCACTTGCTTTGAAAGCAGTACAGTGAAAATAGCAGCCCTATTCTTACTACTGTTTAAAATTCGGATTATTTTTGCTCTAGGTTTGGGCACAATACGTCTACAGTTCCTGAGTTAATTACATTTGCCCAGACTGAAGAATGAAGCTGCAACTTAGAAAAAAAAAAAAATCAAACAAGTAAATAAGACAATACCCCTTCCCAAATCTTAACCACCTTGCACATAAACATACCAAACCACCTTATTTGGTCCTCAATACATGCAAATTGTTAATTTTGGAGGTAATGTTTGTACCAAAGCATTTGGTTTGGATAGCAGTTTTGGGGCCTTAAGATTTAGCATTACCCTCATCCCCTCCAAAAAGTGCCTTTGTGGTATTTGTAAAAACAGTTATGCCTCAAAAATTTGTTTAAAGTACCAACAGAAGTTATTACAAATGTTTATTGCATTGAGCTGATTCTTTTAAAGTATTAAATATGAACTCCCCACTTCTCAGTTTCATAGGTTTTAGTATTCTGTGTGAAATCAGATCTTCCCATGGCAAAAACTAATACTGGCAAAAGGGTGAAGATTTCATCAGTTCATTATTCCACTGAGAGCTGTGTCTTTTTTCCACCTCATTTTCACATTTTCTATAGTGCTTTTTCCACATAGAAGTGATGTGAAGACTTCTTTGTCATCAAGTGGTTTTCCAAGTTTCCAGTAGACCTCAACATTAGCTTTTTGGTGCTGGGCTATGGTTCTTGTCCCCTTCTTTGTTGTCCTTCATCAGTGAGGCAAACACCTGGAAAAGTAAATTATTCAATGAATATGAAGACTGCCAGTGTTATAATGATATTAACCACCACAATATTAGCATGGAGATTAATTTCTAGAATGAGACACTAGAAAGGAAGTGCCCATTGCTCAGGAGTCAGACAAGCAGCTTAAATAATCATGAAGTGCTCCATATATTCATGTGCTGACATGTCTGATTTGATATATATCTCTAAGAAACTCACCTGTGCCCATTTTTTGTTACTATTCTGCATCTGAATAGCTGCAATACAACTAAAAAGCTTTTCTGATGTAATATCTTCTGGAAGTTTTGTTAGAAACTGTGCTATGTGAATAAAGTCCATCTGTAGGAGAATATCTTCATATAACCGAAGGATTCCTAATCCTGTCCTAAACAAAAATTCTTCTCCATCTCTACAGAAAACATCCCAGACACGACAGGCCAGATCAAGTGGTAATGACTTGCTGTAGAGTGTAAAAATCCTACAAATGAGTCAAAAACAAACAAAAAGAAGAGTTATAACTTATTTCAGAAAAGTGAGAAGACAACTTCCTTTAAATCTGAGTTGCATTAGTTCACAGTAAGCAGATGACAAGTTATTTTATACACTCTTATTTTTTCCCCTATTTCAACGATCCACAAGTCTCCAGATTTTGAAGCTAGAACATGTACTCTGAAACCCATGTCTTCTGATGCCACAGGAAATCCTCCATTTGAATGCCATCTCCTTTAGAAAGCTCTGGTTAAAGAAGTGACAAGTATCTTCATACTCAAACAGAGTATAATACATAAGAACTTAAGCCACAAAGATCACAAATGTGTAACTTAATCTTTCCCATTTCCCATTAAGCCATACAGTTTAACAGCTCTGTTCATTTTTTTCATCTCATATAGAGGGCTGCATCCCACTAACATACTTATGATAAATCAATAGCTACTTTTTCGAATTTGTTCACATTACAATCACAAAAATCTAGATGGAGTTCATCCTTAAGCACACAAACAGATATTCTGTATTTGACAGCACTACCACACTTCAAGGTGCCTGCATTACTACCTTCCATTACACACACAGCTTACTACTCTCTGCTTTTGAACATTTGTAACTTCAAATTGTTCACTGTATTTTCAAGTTTATCACTTTTCAAATTAGGTCCTAAATTTCATCCTCCCTCTGCTTTAAAGTCTCTATTCCTATAGTCATACTTCCTTCAGTAGCTGACTGTGTTCATTTCATCAAGTCATTTACAATCACAGTACACCATACTATTACAGTGTAGTAGCCTCCTCTCTCATACTTTTGTCACACAACTGCAGGAACAAGAAAATGAAAACACAGAACTCCTGTTTGTCTCATTTTTTAACTGAATACATCCCTTTTAATAAAGCTTGAAGCCTGCCAGAGGAACTGCAGTTACACAAAACAGTTCATCATGATTTCACAAGACCTCCTGAATGCCTTTTTTTATGCCTTATTTCCAGTGCTGAAAGACCTATAGCAAAATAGCAAGTGTTCTGACAGTTCTAAGGTTAGGTTTTCTATGTTCTGTGAACTCACCAGTCTATCAAATATATGTCTGGAGTAAGACTGTATGACTTGAAATGAAGAAACAATTTAGGAAGATTTTCTTCAAAAAATACTTCAAAGGCTGCAAAGTATTTCAGCATCTGTAGGGATAGTAAAGTACATCTTAAGAAGTCATCAAAAGCATGTTTGGTTGTAAACCAACACAAACCCCACCAAGAGCTGAGGATGTCAACACAGCACAATGTGACTCCTTAGGACAAGTAAAATGATTAAATGCTTCTAGAGGAAAAATCAAAACATGAGAATGAGTTTTATGGATTTAGTATCTGGCATTCTCAGTTTTGTAAACACAAGTTAAAATTCTCCATTATTCAACAGGACAAAAGGAAGTCATCAATAAAAGAACTTTGCTTCAAGTCAAAAGAACATTGCGGTCCAAAACCAGAAAACTCTGTGCATACCATGCTGTGATCCACACGGAAAAAGGCCAGCTGGCATGGCTTGTTTAGAAGGTTAGCAAAGGCAATGAAAGCATCTGCCTCTTCCAGATTGAGAATGAGCACAGCAGCAATGAAGGACATCCCTTGTACCTTCAAGTGGGAAAAGCATCAGGCAAATATAGGTGAGTAGGTTCAGTACATCTTACATCTTTGGAAATGGAAACATTTACAGTTTGCAATTCATCAAGTACCATTGCATAACATTTCCAGATGAATAGAAACAACGTGGATAAATTATTTTTATGCATGCAATCAATTTGATTTCAGCAGTTCAGGCGCTCTGGGAGGTCTCATGATCACAAGTCCTCAGGATTCAAAATACAAGAAAGTTAAAACCACACAGGGTGAATGCAGAGCTCATGAGAAACAAAACCTGGCTTCAAGTTCATTGTTAAACTATGGGAAAAGCAGTCATGGAGAAAAACCTCACATATGGGACAGTTTAGACCCAGACAGATACGTTGGAACTGAGACAAAGTTCTGTTTCAGAACAGTCAATGCATGTCTTTCCACTTGCCAAACCATATTTTTTCACATATATAAAATTACTTCTAGGTGGTTAGCTGCAATGAAAGTTTACATTTTCCTGCCATTACTCTCCCAAAACCACTTTAGCCTTCAATAAATGTGAAGAGCATGATTCTTGTAGTTAAGTGATGACCTGAATACTCATCACGCTAACAATAATTTTATCAATTTCAATTGCAATTATCTTTATTCCACTGTCTCTAAACATTCATGCTGCCTGTTCTCATTAAAAAAACCCCCACACTCTCAGTATTTTAATCGACTATGGAAAAGAGTATTGATATACATCAGAAACAGTCTATCAGCTTTCCATTTCTGGGGGATAAATAGGTGTGGAAATAAGATTGCATTACATTTACTGCCATATTATCATGAAAAAAGCGTGATAAGAAATATCAAGACTAGCTGCAATTCTAATAGAAAAGAGAAGCCTTATCCATGAAAAGTTACTTATTTGTCTTTTGAAACTCCACCCTGGGAACAAGCAGTCTCAGAACCTGCAGAGTTTGTAATCTCACTTTAAAAATATGGGAGAGTCTCCAAAAATGAGGTCACAGATGACAGAATTCAGGCCTAAAAACATTTGAACTTGAAAAACTGACTAGTTATTTACGCAGAGTCTCAAGCATATCTGATTTAGAGAGGAAGACACACCCTGTGCTAAATAATGCTTTGTTGCATTAAACTTTAAAACTTTTCAAGTGTTTTTGAGCCCCGAAGCATTAGAGCTTGTGAAAGATGTTTTTAGATACCCCCAGGAACAAAGAAGAAAAAAATCTCTTCTCTTCATTATTGTTCATTATTTAAATGCTTCTGTAAGCTAACACCATTCAGAGTGATGTTAGGTTTAGTTGGTTTGTTCAGGGGTTTTTGAAAATTTTTTTAATGGATTTTTTTTTGCTTGTTTTTAAACACAGTAATGTTTGCTGAAAACTATCTTCACTGAACTCAGAGGGAGCGATTTATTCTGTGTCAGCAAAACACTAAGAAGGAGTTTCTGGATTTTAGGATGTGCACTAGTGAAGCAAGGAGCATCACTATGGAAATGGCAACAGGGGAAGCAACAGTAAGACAGAACAAGTGAGGTGCTAACTGGAAGCCCACTAATATCTTACAGGCTTTTTTCCTGTAGATACTCTGTCAGAACTATAATGTCTTGTGAAAACGCCCATTTAAAATTTTCCATGCAATCTAGATACTCAACACTGACATTCAGTACATTTTCAGCTATTTAATTGTCTCTAAGAACTACCATCATTGTGACTGCTATGAAGTAACTGCCAAAGCTTAATTATTTCTTTAAGTGCTAGTAGCATAAAGTTTGGAACACTTATTTATTTAATATACTTTAATATATGACATCTTAAGCATATTTGCCATGTTATAAACATTTTATAGCAAATACTTACATATCCCACGTCTGGTCTGTAACATGTATATGCTCCTAAAACACTATGCAGGAGATCATGATAAGGACCACCCTAGTAAGAGGAGAGGGTAGAAGGAGAAAAAGAAATTTTATTTTCAAAAAAATACAGGAAAGGAGCAAGCTGATATCTTAAGATTCAAGTGAGCCACTGAACTGTTGCTTTATTAATATCTAGAATACTACCATTTCTTACTCCAAGCATTACTACAAATGTTTTTGAGATGTTTAAAGTAACAATGCTCCTATGAAATAATTCAGCAGAAACCAGTACCTAATAGAAAATGAGGATATCTGGTACAGATCCAAGGTTGGTCTTTCCTTTGCAGAGACAATGGATATTTTAATTCTTAGCAGCACAAGTTACTCTATTATGATATTGCATGTTATTTTATATACATGTAGGTGCATATTATAGCTCTATAAAAATCATACAGCCTGAAAAGGTGCACCAGAATGCATCAAGAATTCTGTAGCAGTGAGAATACTCATTTCTCCCTGCAGTTTCATAATCATTAATAGGAATCTCATGCAATTTTTCAAGGAGAAAAAACCTCATAGTCCATCACTAAGTGTCTCTACTTTATTCTCATTTTTAAATATTTTAAAAGTCAAAAATACTTCTAAAAACGATTCCGTATTTGGCCAGTTATGTTTCTTGTTTAACTATTCAGAATTTTAAAGCTCTTGTAACTAAAGTTAAAGGCATCTCACCTTCTGGAAAATATACAGGGATGGAAATGTGCGTGATATATCCAACTTAATTAGCTCCAGACTGGCCTCACGATCAGCAACAGATGCACCTGCATCTGCAAGCAAAACCAACACTTATTAAAGCTGATAAATTCTACAAACTTCAGAACAAAACTCCTGTAGGCACATAAAGACAAGGAAGGCAGCATTCACCTAAGAACCTCCAGAAGAAATTCTGCTAGCCCCTGAATTCTCTGTCCCATCCTCTCCACAGGGAAATGATAAAAACACTAGTGATAATGTAGGAAAAAAGACAGGTAGCACTTGGGGAAAAGGCTCTTTTGGAGGGCTTAAATCAGACAAGATTTCCAACTGGAAAAATGAACAGGCTAAACAGAACCTGCTCTGCTGAAGCTTGGAAAGCAGCATTTCATTCCAGTCTGCCAAAAACTATGATAGTTGGTCTTCCAGACTTTGCAACCAAAGATTAGCAATAAACACTGTCAGCTTGCTTGCTTTTCAGAGATGAAAATTCTAACACTTAAGTTTTCCCTTATTACTACATCTCCCAGGATATCTAGCACAATTAAAACAGCTCCATCTCCCTTCATTCCCACCGAGAACTATTACCTCTCAAAAAATCAGATTACCTAAGTCTAGGCCCACAGACAGTCCACACTCCTACAACAAAAGAAAAAGCAAACCACCACTTCACAGGCCAAGGGGCATTGCAAACATGTTTTCCAAGGATAAGCATATTTACAGTCATGTACATACAGAATTTTTTATAAATTGTTTGTCTCAAGACAAACAGATGATTCACAGGACTATCCCTAAGGAAGACCCGAATAATTTATAGTCAAAGTAGGCAATTAGTCAAGACTGGCTATGGCAAGTGCAAACAACTGAAGTAATGGAAAAGACACTATCACAGGACAGCATTTTAAAATATATCAATCAACAGCACAAAGAGTTAACCTTTATAACAAGGACACATCCGACATTAAAAACATCCCTGATACTATTTTTAACAGAAAGAACATCCACAAGGGACAGCAATATGCCAGTGAAAAAACTGCATTCTAGAAAAGAGTGCTAACATCCCCACTCAATAGATTTGGGAGGAAAGGCCATCTGGGCAGGCAGGAAATACAAGTGAGATCTGAAATGTGTCATGTTTTATATCCTTCACCTCTCAGTTTCGGAACCAAAAAATTGAGGACATTCTTTTTTTCTTTCCCAAAATCATGGAAGGGATACCAACTAAGGAGAACCCATCTAAGAACAGCTAAGAAAAATCATGTATTGTAATTTAGTTTCCTATTTCTTCTTCTTTTTGTATTTCATCTAATATTTTCATGAGAGCCAAGTCTTGATATTTCAGAAGAAACATTCATTTGAAAATAGCACATGCAATATTTTAATCTTTTATTGACACAGTAAGTACTGCCAAGCCCCTCGCTCACTGACTTGTTATAAGATAGCAAACATTTAAGACCGGAATGATTTTGAGAACTTTTAATAAGTATTCTTAATGCTGAAATTGCAGAGGAACTTGTCAGACTTCCTGGGTTTGTAAAATTGAATAGGAGGTTGTAGAGGACTCAGGAGATCTCACCTTCTATGTCATTCTCAGAACTTGTCTCACTGAAGCTTTTCCATCGTTCCTTAGCTCTCGACAAGAAGATTTCATAAAGTTCTGCAAGAAATCAAAACAAAAACAATAACCAAAAAGGCAGTGTTAAGAAAAGCATCCATCCAAGATGAAAGGCTGCTAAGCATTCTTGGCTTTGGTTGCTTAGTTTCATCACTGGGGGCAAAAGGAGAATCTAGATGGTTACCACAGTTATACACAGTTTTATAGTGTGCACTGTATTGTGCTTTCTGCTGTGGTGAACATGGAAAGGGAACATGACAGGGAATATGACAGGGAAATCATGCCTTACATAATTAGATTTGTATTTTTGTGAATAAAATGCTCACAATTCAACAATCATTAAAATAAATATCAAAATAAAGCAATTCCCTTTTTACCCCCTTAAGAAAGCAAAGCTACAAATTCTCAATTTTAAATATAAAAATTATTTTCTAGGGGTGAGCATTATCTTAATTCTTAAAATACTAAATGTTTTTGCAAGCAGGTTTTGGACCTTGTTTCCATAATTTATGAGGCTATGATGTCTAGTTGTAAAACACAACTGCTCCTAACCTTGCAAAATACATTTCTTCAGAAAGAAATATACCCTGATTTTTATTTTCTCCTTAGCAAAAGTTTACATTTTTCTTTGAAAATAACCAACTTAATTTACCATTAACATGCGATCTGTTAGGAACATACCAGGAGTGATGTTTAATTCATTTCCCACAGCTAGACTCCAAACCTTCCCACGTACACTTGGGGGCAATCCCTGCCACCACAGCTCTCGAACTCTTCGGGTAGCACGCCTGATATACAGGAGCAGAGAGAAGGAAAAAAAAAAGGCACATATTGCACATCTTGTTTTCTAAGATCACTGTGCAATTTGCAAGCAAAATAACATACTGTTTAGCAAATCAATATTCAAAGATCTCTGTTGATGCTAAAGCCCCATTAAAAACCCCAAAACATTCAGCTCCCAGAAGGCACATTTCATGTTGCTCTGTAATGACCTCACATTTTATCATGGCAACAAAAAACTGACTTCTTGACAACACAGAAAAGGAAAATAAGGTATGTGGGTCCTCAGTTTCCAGAGGAGAAACAAGCCACGCTTGCCTCATTTACACAGCAGAACTTTACTTACATGCCTTCCCAGTTAGGTAGTATTTCATTGACCCAAATCACCATAGCACTAGCGATATTCTCTTCTTGCTTGAAACGCTCTCTCATTATTTTTTTCCTTTTATGTGCTTCTTTAATTTCTGTTAGGCATAACATGTTAATAATTCTGTATTAGTGTATACAAATTATTAGGTAAATTATTCAACTACTACCCAAGTATTTAGATGTCTAAAATATTGAGGGTAAATTACAGTTGCACGTACTATTTCTGTTGATTGTAGGTGTATTTCTCTGGAAAATTTTTAATTTAAGCTAAGTTGTTCAAATATAGTCATTTAGACAAGCAAAAATCAGGCTAGAAAACTCAGGTAGTTCTTTTCTGCAGTACACAGGATAACTAATACACAAGCACATTATCAGCGCTGTTTTTCCTCTCATGATTTTCATACCATATTCTATCTGAGCCTTATTTATTCATTAGGCTAATCAGCAATATTTATGGATAATTTTATTATTTAAAAATGCAATTCTACATCCATTTTAAAACTATTCAAATGTTACTGAAGCTTCCACCTAAAAGGAGTTTGTATTTTCTTTTCTGGAAACAGGACCTAAAGACCTAAGACAAAGCCACAATGCTGAAAAAGAGAACAATGTCCTGCCTTCTGTTAAAAAGAGATAATTTGTAGATTCCTCTTATTAAAAAGGCTAAAAGAAGGACAGAGCAGTGCTCTCCTGACATCACTTAGAACCAGTGTGAAACTGCAAGACATTTTTTATTTAAGCATGCATTGGACACATCAAGAAGGTAAACACGCCCTCCCTGGTAAACAGATATGGCTGACCAGCTTCATCAAGTTTTTACTGAAGCTTTGAGTGTACAGCAACAGTTAATAAACCAGGGCACACACATGGAAACACCACACATGGCTGAACCTCCAAAGATGCTGTTACTGAAGTACACAGACCACGGATCACAACTTACAAGATACACACCACAAGAGCAGAGTGAAATGCATGGTCAAATGCCTTGGATTTCTTATTGCACCTTTCAAAGTAAGCTGCCATGGATCCAAAGAGGATCAATCAGTTCAGAAGCTTGTATCTCTGACAACAGCCCAAGTAAAACATGCAGCACAGATTCTTAAAATAGCTTATTCCCTGAATACTAGGCACAAGACTACAATAGTCCTTTTAACAACTATTCATAGATTGACACAGTACCAGATGCTACAGATCTGTTTTTTAAATTAATCGTATCTAGTGGGAGTAAGAAGGTACACACAGGTACAGCTGATAGGAAAATAACCCCAAAGTTTTCATCTCTCTTCACAATGAAATTGATCTGAAATTCTCAAGAAACCAGATCTTTAAGCAGTCAGCTTTTATTATACTTCGGCTCTTAGTGGCAACTGCAGCAACACAGCTTGAAAAGAGAGTCCAAGTACCCAGAAAGTTTCTAGGTGGCAACATTACACAAGTATCTTTTAAAAATTAACTTTTTCCTTACAAAGTAAATGAACAGTGAAGTTGCATTCTGAACCTAGCTATATTCACTGTAGCAGAACAACATTTTGATAACTGAGCTCTGTTTTAAACTGTGTGCCCCTATGCATCATAGAATAACCCAGATATTAAACAAGAGGTTCTTTAATGTACCCACTTGCCTACAAGCCAGGATTTACTTTATTTCTGCAGCAGACTTGAGAGGAATTACAGTCACTGTTGGCAGCTCACATACCTCTTTTTTTTGCTTCTGCCACCATCTCGTCGTATTCTTGTCGATGACGTAAAGCCTCCTCCACTGACTTGGCAGGAAGATTTCTGAAAACAAGTTGTTCCTGAATTCAATACACACAAATGACATTCTGGACCATTTCAGAACAGGATTAAATTTGGTTTCTCTCTAAGGTGAGCTTTGGGGTTGTCATACTGCCAGCATTCCAGTAACAGCTGTAGAGAACTACTAGCTGTTTGCTGATCCTCCTTTTTAGTTCTCCTAGAGCTTCCCCCAAAGTAAGGTTATTAAATTTGTTGAAGACCTGGAATAATGCTCATGTGATTGAGAAAAGAGAAATGCTGATATACTATATAGTAGTTTATTCCAATGTATTTCTGCCCACGTGTATTTTAATCATATGTTCATATGAAATCTATAGATGATGGATTGTCAATAAAAGGTAAAGGCTTTTATTCATTGTAGTTAACCCTTTAAAACTCTCACAAAAGAAGATAAGTTTCCCAAAGGAAAAAATGATAGATCACTGCTGATGTCAGAGCTAAAGCTAAGGAAGCTTGGTGCAGTCTAAAAGCTGACCAGATAAAAATGTGGTTGTTTTTTGGCTGCATAATGGTCCCCTAATAGCCAAACACACTTCCTCTTGACCAAGAAGACTCACTTCAAAGCAAATTAAAACAGTGTTTGGTCTCAGCCTCTTACCTAATATCTAGTCTACTTTGGTCCAAAATAAACAGAAAACAGTTTTGTCATTTTAATATATAAAAAGTTTTCTGTCTCCTTTCATACAAGCAGACAAAATAACTTATTATTATTTTCAATGAAATTGAGAGCAGAATATATTTTCAAAGGTTAGACTGTGGAAACACACTACATGCTTGGGATGGCACTCCAATTTGAAACAAGTGTCATTTGTAAAAGCATATTTATCCTAGCTTGTGAATTGCAATACTATGAAAGTAAAGAAAGACATCAGCAATCCAGTTATTGCATATCTTACTCTCTACCATACAGTAAAAGAAATAATGCATTTATAAAAGCAAATACTCATAGTAATCCATAATTCCAATCAGGGTATTTCTGTCTTAGCACAGAATGAGCTTATATACTCCTAAAGAGAATATCCAGAGAAATACTAATATGTTCTATTTTTCATTTCCTAATTGGAAGCGATTAGAGCAAATACTCAACAGTGCCATCACAATCTTTTTCATGATGCAATTTGAAAACGTTGTTGCATTTGTTTTCCTCAAGCTTGTGTTCTTAATCAGAGGTCCTTTCTCTTTCCTTCACATTGCTGAAGACTGTATAGCTGAAAATACTGACCAATTTATTACCCATTTTTCATTAGTATTCGTATTTGTACTTAATGTGGGTTTTGTTACATCTTCATCTTCTGTTTCCTTGCTTTCAGCTGCACTTTTAGGTATTACTGACCTAATATGTTCTTAAGTTTCCAAAATAGGGGATGGGAGGATAAGGGAGCAGGAAGTGCACACTGAGAAAGTGAAGGAATCAATCAAGAAAATTCCTGAAGACTTTGAGGATGTCCAGAGCATGGTCACAGATAGCTGTGAGATACAGTAGATAAGACTGGTGGCTCCATTACAATGAGAAAGAATTCCTCATATAGATTGTGATACACTTAAAAGCTCTTCTGGAAGTATTTGTTAGACCCTTTTATGGGACAGAATAATTCCATTATTCTTCCATGTAAGACTTGTGAATTTTAGCTCATCAGAAATGAATCTATTCAGTCCTTCAGTTGCACAGCAGAATCATACTTACGCTGGTCGATCCTCCAGAATCAAAGCAGTAGTGGAAAGTGGTTCAAACTCAATGTTTTTACGCCTTGTTGATGAGGGTGGGGGTTTATACATTCTTCCTGTCCGTGCTTCATATTCCTAAACAACATTATTGATACAAACGAAATTTCAACTTTCAGCCTCACTCCAAATTAGTAAGCATGATATTACTAAATGCATAAATAACTTCATATTAAATATTTTAACATTACATAATAAAACAACAAGCAGCAAACACTACAAGTTGAAATTGCTGATAGCAACAGTGCAGCTCTCCAGGACTGCTAAGTAAAGATGAATGAGAAAGCAGTTTATTGTATCAACTTTGATCAATTCTAGTTCAATACTTCAACTCAGCATCCCAGGATCAGCTAGTGAAGAAACCTGCATAATCTACCCAGACTAGCTAGTGCACAAGCATATTTAAGTAATATGTGCCGTTGACAATAAAAAAAAACACCACTAATCTCATTCCATTTCTTCCTCCTGATTCCAGCTCTCCTTAAGATCCAATACACCTGACATTCCTGAGGCCTTCAACAACACCATCACACCCACATGAACCAGAACCACCTACACTATACTCAGTGACAATACACCAGTATTTATCATTACAAGTCTGTTTCATATAATTTCCTTCCTCTGAGGTTAAAACATGCAGTCTACTTAGAAACAAGTATTTAACTGCCTTCAATACACCCAGGATTCTGAGGAAGAAAGAATTCTAATCCTTTTATCACAACAGCAACTCAACAGAACAGAAATATGACAAAATCCTTAGAAAAAAAGCTAAACAGAACCAGATGAAAATCTCAAATCTCACATCCTCTTCTTTTTTGCCTCTGTAAATAAAAAATTACTGCCAAGGTAATGGAATAATATGTATCAACACCATTCAGCACATTGAAACAAGTATCTTGAACAACTGGAGACAGGATTGGTAAAGTTATGTTGTAACTTACACAAGTGCAAGAAAAATTAAAAAATCAAAGCTCACCATATGAATGAATACACATATTCTCAAGCCTAAAATTATTTCATTCCACTTAAAAACAGAAACAACATCAGTACTCCTGTCATGCTGTATACCTCAGGACACTCAAGTACATTTGTAAATTAGGAATGCATCCTGTGATAACACCTAGAGATCAACATCCAGGCTGCAATACAGTAGCAATGCTATCCCTCCTATTCTTGGTAGAATTTCTGATTTACTTCCATATTGTCCTTTGTAACAAGAGTCACCAAATCAAGTTCATTTAGCGGTCAGAGATGAGGAAGCTCAAACATCAGCAACCTTTTCAACATCTCTACACATCTAACTTGTATACAAGTTTTAAAAGAAAGGAAAAAAGATTTTAAAAAGCACTGCAAGATGTATCAGAAATGAAGCCACTCTTACCTTTTTTAATACAAGCAATACATGTGAACAATGCTAGTGCTTCCAGCTATCACCTGTGCTAAGAACTGATACACTATTTCCAAGGCAACAGAAAAAGAAAAAAACAAAAATTAAAAATTCTTCAACAGAGATTTTCACAAAAGGCAGAACCCATCATCCAACTGTGTTTCTGAAAGTAAGTACACATCATGAACAGTTGGGTTTTGTAAAAAGAGATCACATGGGCAGAGAAGGAAAACTGTAAGTGTTACTAGAAAGAGAACAGAGACCAAAATAGCCTCAGGTTCAAACTGTCACGGCTGTACATTCCCCAAACTGAAATACATTACAAAGTATCAGAACCTTCCAAAGGAAGAGGCTTTTTCCTCAAGAAGCCTGTGCTCCAGGAAACTTGCTTGAAGATTAGATCCTACAGTGATCAGGTGTGTACAGGAATTATGCAAATGAAGTATCCATTTTTTTTCTGGAATACTTTGTATGACTAGATGTAAAGAATCCAATAGCCTTAACTGCGTACTTGATTCAGAATCTAAAAAGCTTGAGCTGACATAAAACTTCGCTTTGAAAGATGTGAGCTAATATTCTCCCATAATGAGGTAAAAATGCAATTTAAAGTCAAATGTCTTGTCAAATGCTTAACATTCAGGGCATGTGCCAGAAGAGTTGACAGCTAAGATTCAAGACTATGTAAAACCTGTATATGTAAAAAAATATTTTAGAAGGGTCAAATGTATGGTTTCACAAGCTTAGAGAAGGTTATTTTTAAAAAAATCTTTATTGCAATATATCAGGCATTTAATGAAAATTCCAGAACACTTCATAGTTCCAAAGTAAAGAAAAACAAATTCAGCTTTAATAAAAAGTGAAACCAGTTATCTTCTTACTAAGTCTGGAACTGCATCCTGTTATCCACTGCTAATAATTAACCCAGTAAGAAGCTTAGAGCATGTTTTTCCTGAAAAACACTGTGACAATATACTTAAGAGTGCTTTGATATGTGGAGGGACTTGCATTTCTGGTATTTATTCCTGCAGAGATACAGATAAGCCTATTAACCTACAGACAGGTTAACTGGGGCAGGGAAAACATCTTTTGCTTATAAACTGCATTTGTTTAAGAAGATAAAGATATCTCTAGTAGTATCTTCTTAAAACAAAACAACAAAAAACCCCACCCAAAACCCAGAAATTCAAAACCAAAAAACCCCACCCCCTACCACCACAGCAAAGAACACTAAAAAATGCTCCAGTGTTGTAAATTTAAAAAAATAAAGAAAGAAAGAAACCACAGAGGTCTTTATTGCTTGCACCTTTTTGTTATCGACCTGGAAAACATGCAAAGCTGAAGTTTCATTCAGCCTTCTGCTGTAGTACCATAAAGGACAGTCAGACCATTGAGAGTAATTTTCATTACCTCTAAACAGCACTGGTTTGCTCTGTGTAACATACACAGAGCCTCATAGCCTCTTCTTCCAATACTTAAGCCAATGACCTTACAGAAAGGAAAATCAGCTGCATTGCAGCATTCCAAAAGCATTAGTGGACCTGAAGTAGGGTATACTTGTGGGGATGAAGTATTTAGCTAAGTGTGAACACAGGGATTCAGTGTTAGTTACAAACTTCCATCTGCAGATCCCAAACTATGCAGCTGTAAAGGAATAAATACCAACCATAAAATTCAATATGAATCTGGAATCAAGTCTGATCTATTTATGATCCAACAACAGAAGCTGAACTCCTGGGAATGAGTGATAAAAGCCTTTGGTTACAAGGACATGGAAGTTCTCACAGTACCAATTATACAGACAAAACACCACAGATCCAATTATGCTGTAGGTATGCTGGAGGAGAAAGGCAACTGATGTGTAGAGAATTTATGAAACTAAAGAATGGAACACTGAATAAACTTGCCCTATCTTAAGGACTGCCTCTATTTTAAGAAGATGTCAAGGCATACTAATACACCAACTAAACATCTTGTGTATGACAGTTTCTTCTAACGTGCTTTCTCCTCTCTAATGCTAAGTCTGATAGTAAAACAGATTTTATTCAATTAATTGAAACTTCTGCTGAGGAAACAGAATGGGGATTGCCATATATTATGCAAATGGTTTTACACCTCTCTCCCTTCTACACATATGTGACTGGAGCAGATGGGTCTATGAAACATCTATATGATTATTTTCATGATGTTGTGCAGCTAACTAGTTGTATCATCAGATTATGTCTTCATTTGAATCAGGGTTGATCATCCAATAATAGAAGCATTAATAGAATCACCTAGGAGTGCATCCATGTCAGAAGAATTTCTGCTAATGAATATTCCTACATCAGCATGCATGTTGCCTCCAGGTTAAATGTTAAAATTGCTGAGCTAGCACTAGCTACAAGGTGATTATAAACAAAGAAGTGTTTATAGCAAGAGTAGATGTCACTGAAAAATTCCGTGAGTCATAAACTAGACATTTTCCCACAAATAATAATTCCAGATGCTGTCAGGACAGGAAGAACAGTACATTCTTGCCTAATTTGCAGGTGAAATAGAAAGAACAGATGTATTGATGGAGAAGAAAATACTGATCTTCACACAGTACAAAAGGACAACTAAACAGACACTTAAGAGTTTCTAGGTCAGTCTTCCAAAGTTAACGCCATCCACCTTCAATTCTTTGTTTGCTGTATTTTTTCCTCAACTGAATATTTAATAAGGTGCATCAAATTTCATCTTCTTTTGTTTACAAGAAGCCACCAGCCCTGGGCCTTATAAAGACACGCTGAGAGTGGCCAGGCCACGTAATGTGAACCACAGGCAGCAGAATCAACCAGCAGTTATGTGACTGCTCTGTTTCACAGCTCCACAGAATTAAAAAGCCAATCTGTGCTATTCATGTTTAACACAGAGTGCAGAATTACATTAAGAGTTTGCAAAGTAATGGGCACACTCCATTTCAGAAGGATCCCAGTCATAGCAAATAGATAACGTAAAATGAAACAAAAGTTTCAACAGCTACACTTTTCTACTTTTGCAATTTCACATTGGAAATAGTGATTAAAAGCATCAAGAGGTCCGAAGTGCCACTGTTAATAGCTTGTGTGGCTCAGTGACAGAAGATTCTAGTATATCAATTTTCAAATTTAATAAGGTGTTCAGAAATAGTACCAATTAAGCCTTTCAACAACTTTTACCATTAAGCAATGAGGCACAGCAAACATAGAAAGTAAATTACTGTCAAGCTCTATGATTACCTTTTTCTTGCTTTTCAAGAACATGCAATATAAACAATAAACAATAATACTCTATCACTTCAAATTGTTAGTGAGAGTCACATGTGAAATTTGTTTATTTTACTAATGGTTTTTAATGAGTTGATGGTTAGTGCCATAAAATATTCATGCTACTGTGAAAATGTGATGTTTGTACCATTTTAATGAGTGCTACACAGTCCCATGCATGGCATCAAATACGACTAAAAAAAATATATATTAAATTTCATACCCCTGTGTTTAATAGACTGAGAGCAGATATTGACGAAAGACTGCCAGAACTGTCATCCTAATAAGAAAAACAGAAGCAGAGCCTTAGTGAATAAATGAAGGAAAAGATCATTACAAAATAGCAATGTGCAAGCCAGAATTTAAATTCACATGTACACTATTTATCTTGCATGTTTGAAAAAACACGGATGAGTCTTCCTCCTCCTTTTCCAGCCCTCAAAACAGACACATATACAAAGACTTCCCACTTGTGCAAGAGCTGTACAGACTGGATTGTTTTTCTGGTTTAATTGATGTTTTATATTTTCAGTAATCAGCTCCTTTGCCCAAAGGGAGATTTTTTTCCATGGTGCTTCTCAGGTGCATGACAAAGGCAGTCCCTGATATACCCTGTGTGTCCCTAGAACACAGCACTCACAGACATTAGACTGACTTAACCACAGCCTTGGAGGGCACATGCTGCTAGAAAAGAAAAACAAAACATTGTCCTCTGCTATGTAATCATTGGTATTTCTAAACTGAAAGCTCAAAAGTGGGCTATACTTCAGCCTTGCTGGTGAGAACAGAGATCTATTTGTAATGCTTTGAGCAACAGTCACTTCCATTCTAAATAAGATTCTAAGCACCACTCAGCAGCAAGGCAATCAGGTATAAAAGCTACAGGAGACTCTGTACAACCACAGCTCTGCAGATTTCCAACCAAAAGTCAAAGTTGGTTTTACAATGGAAAGATAAACCAAGCTGAAAGATGGGGTGTAGGGGAGATGACCAACAAAGTCCAGTGCTTTTAAGCCTTGAATTACAGTGCCTGGAAGAAGGAAAATAAGGGTTTTATCATTAATTCAACAGAACATATCTGCAGTGTTCGGAATTATAGAAACCATTTTAAAGACTTTCTTCTCCCTTGCAATACTATTTTTCCTTTTCAGTTCTGAAGTACCATGCCAGCCTTGGAAGGATAAGATTTATATTAAAACAAGCCAACAAAAAACCCCCACAATCTCACACCTTAAATAAATGTCCATGAAAGACAGCAGATTTACCACCTGAACCTATCCTTTTGGAATTCGATACAGCCTGCCTAGATGATGATTTTGCTTTCTCAGCACCTCAAGCTCAGTAGCACGTCTGCTTAATCTGCAAATGCTCAGTTCTTTGAGAAAGGAAAAAATCCTATGTATCATGCTTGGCTAAAGAAATTCAAAGGCCCAATAGAAGGAGAAGGATCCCACAGAATGAGAATCCAGAAGACCAAAAAATAAGATATCATGTCCAACCAAATCAAAGTAAAATAAGTTCTATAATTTTTATTACCTCAATTTATATTATTTGTTTCCTCCAAATCCAGCAACTTTCAGGAACAGATATGAAAATACATACCTATGTATGCCTACACGTTCTTTTTCAAGCCTTAGGAACAGTTGCTTCAATACTTGTAGTTGTCCTTAAAGACTTTGTTTTTTTAAAAAAAATAACAGCAATCGGAAGAATTCACATAAGCAGATTCAATGCGTCCATGTTATTTTCAAAACACTGATCCCATCCCCCCTGTAAGGTTCTCCCCTAAAGATACATTTGTGCCACTAACATAGCACTGACATCGTAAGAAGTTTTCCTTAACAAGTTTCCCTTGTCAAAGCATCCTGACAGCAGGAGTTAAACTGTATTTTATGGCCTTTATGCAAAACAAAAGAAAGCATCTGTCACTCTGAGGTCCTACCAGTTTCGCTACCATTTTACTGACAAAATCATCATCAAAGAAATCTAAAACACTGGAGAATGTCCATGCTTTACCTCTAGAATAGATATTTTACTGACTACATATGTGATAATTGAATGATGTGGGACATTTCTTGAGAATCTGAACTGCTACAGCATCTACAAAGAAAACCATCCCAGCCTTCTCACTGCTTCTGGTAGGGCAAATTGTTTTTCAGGTGTTACAGGTTCCTTGCAAGACCCAATAGCCCCATTCATTATTTGTCCTTGTTTCAAGGCAGTTTGTTACCAATGTATTTCTGCCCTGTATCTGGCAAACAGGCAGAAGTCCTGCCTTTCTTTATTCTCCAGTAGTAGTGCAAGGTGAGCCAATAAGACCATTAAATAACAATCTGCTTAAGAACCACTCCTGTAAAAAAGCATTCAACAACTGCTCTGAGATAGTCCTTGGGTTGGTTTACAAACACATACACGTTTTATAAGCATTAAGAGCTTGTGCACTTTTAAACTCCAACAACCAAGACTGGAGGGAAGAGTTAATATTGCAAGCCAAAAGGTTTGAGTCATATGAAAACTGATTCAAAACACATCTGCTCCTCTGAAGAGAAGCCTCTGAAAACCCTTGGCCCTGGGAGGCCACGGGAATTCGTCTGAATCAATGACTGCAATTTCTCCATTAGATCTCAGACTGGAGATAACAACATTGGAAAAATATTCAAGAGAAGATATTTAAGTTTTTTAGCCCTCAAGTATTTTTTTTAAAAGATTTCAAAGCCACCCCAACATATTTTCAGAGGTTAGATGTACAACAGTGACCTAGTCAAAGCTAGTATTTAATGGACTAAGATTAAAACCTTCCATTTTGTACACAAGGTGACAGCTATTGGAAAAGATTGCTTCACTTCTGAATAAGCAGTCATTTCTAAAATCACTGCAAGCTTTTAATGGTGTGGCAGATTTAAGTAGAAAAGAAGCTTTTTTTTTCCACTTCATTTAAGGCTGCCACTGAGAGAAGCATTATTAAAACTGCTGATAAAGTGAATTTGGTGCATATTTTGCTTGGGGTTTTTTTTGTAATGTGTAATTGCATATTTTGAGTTCAATTCAGGCGTATTAGGAAAAAACCCACCATACTGCTTTAAACATATTAATAAAAAGTATGCAAGCCTGCTTTCATATAATAATCTAAACTTAATGACTTTATATTCAGAAAAAAATTTTATCATGCATTAAAAGCTCTTTTCTTTAACCATATGCACAAAAGCTGAAATTTTGAGTTTGCATTTTTAAACAGCACTTGGACTTTAGTCAATACATTCCAAAGTGTTATATATCAGCCTACAAGTCTGTTTCTGCTTTAAATGCTTCTGCATTAAAGTATTTCAACAGTCTAATTTAAAGCAGATTTCTGTACCGACTGAAAAGAGTTTACCAAACTGATCATTAATGACAACATGCTTCTTATAATAGCTAGTTTTATGAGCTGCAGCTCATGAAAAAAGGCACACTTCCTAAAACCATCAAATGCATTTGACATTTGCAGTCCTGGGGAGCTGTTTTTCCCTTTTCAAAAAACAGTGAAGGAAAGAAGCCCAGAGGAAGGAGATGTCCAGCAAAAGAGTTGGCCTCAATCACATCCTGCTTGGGCAGCTCTAAATCCAAGGAGAGAGGAGCGTGCCAGCAGCTGCGAGTGGGGAGATGCAGCTGCCAAGAACTTTCAACCTCTGACCCAGTTTGAGCGAGCGCATCTCGCCCAAGGCGACGCAGCTGCAGGGACTGTGCAGGCAAACCCCGCAGGCTGCGGTGCCACAAAAACATTCAGCATCTTCTACGTGAGCCAAGAGGCTTGCAAAGAAATTATTTACAATAATATTCGTTAGGCTGTCTCTGAAGGCACAGCTGGCTGGCATCGTCATCTGAAAAATGTCTGAAACGGTATTCCCAATTAAGTTTCCAGATTTTCTTGGAGGTTATTCAAGATATTACAAGCACTACCTGACTTCTCTGGAGAGGCACATATAGCAGTGTCTAGTTGATAGACAATGACTGGGAGCCACAAGCATTCATTTAAATGTAATCAGCAATTTACTACATCATCCTTTACCATAACAAAAAGAACAAAGGGGGCATCTTTCAGCCAGATCAAAAAGAAGCACATAAGCCCTACCAATCTTTTGGCTATAAATCTACAATGATGCAATTTTTGTCAGTTTTACTAATAGGAAAGTACTTCATGCTTCATGATATTGCCATAAAACTTTGATGTAAGTATTTTCCTTATCCTAAAGACTTCCTCCTCCTATTAATTGCAAAGTTTTTCCTGTTGTGAGTTAATTTTTCTTGCAACAGGGCTTCTTAAGATCTCATCTTTTACATGCAGGATGCTGACTCATTACTGAATTTCCTTAATCAAGGGTTTATTTGCACCCTCCCAAAGCTGGCCACTGACATCAGTAAAGTGAAATGACCATGTCCAACCATGAAAAATAATGCTCAGGAATGGCAAGATTTGTGGCTAACAATAAAGTACCATAAATTCCTTCACAGGCACCTTTCCTACCTTCTTGTAGTTTTACTCTAAGGTTCATTTTACAAAAGCTGGCTAACAAGAAGTAAATACAGTTCTGACCACAAAGAGCTAAAAAAATTGGGGAAAAATGTGGGGTTTCTGTTTCAATCATATTTGATCCCTCCAATTCGATTTAGAAAGTCAAAGTGCAAGTTTGGAGAGACATTCCATGTAGGTTATGAAGTAACCTGACAGGTTGAGAGAATTGCATGTGAACAAAACCCATTAAGCTTTAATCATATTTCTGCCAACTTCTTGAAGGCCTCATTCTTTTCACTCACATTTCCTGCCTAGTGAGGAATTAGTCCAGAGACTACAGTCAGCCATTTGAAGTGAAGATGCTATTCCCCACTGATCTTCAATAACCAATTGTGCCTATATTCATTCTAACCCATCACCAGCTTGGCAAATTTGAACATTTTCCGAGGAAAGAAACCATTGGCTTTTCTTCAAAGGCATATGCACAAGGAGCTATATAGATTTTAAACACGTGCAAGACATTTGACATATGCTAATTATGGAGATATTAGGGTCATTTCTCAATTTAAGATCAAATTTCCTTAGGTATGTAGCTCTAACTGTGTGCAGAGCATACTGTCAAGCTGGTTCCCCCTTTGGTAACTGTATCTCTTAGCTCATGAGGCTTTATCTAAAGACCATGCATGCTTTAGGAATAGAAAGCTAAAACTATTAGCTATTACTGATACTTTACTCAAGATTATGTAAATCCAACAGTGACTTTAATCTGGAAAACATTATAGCCCAAACCACATGACTAGGAGCAACTCAGTCATGGTTAAAGATAAGACATTGGTGTAATAAATTTGCTTTTTTAGGAGGAGTTAAAAATGGGAACGCTACAGTTTAAAACAACCACAATCACTGAGGGACAACAGAATAAGAAAGTAGGACTGTTTCTTCAAATTATCATCTTCAACAGGTTGCCCAGGAAAGCTGTGGATGCCCCATCCCTGAAAGTGTTAAAAGTCAGGTTGGAAAGGGCTTTGAGCAACCTGGTTTATTGGAAGGTGTCTGCCCATAAAAGGGAAAGTAGGACTCCCTTCCAACCCAACCATTCTATTATAACATGGTCTCCAGAACAAATATCTTCATTACTAGAAAACAGTCAGCAGATGACAGGTAACATTGTGCAGGTTCTCCATTTCTCAGGATGGAAGAGACATCTGGATTTTACCACAGTGTTTTCACAGCACAAGGCCAACAGCATGCCCCTGCAAGCAAACCAAGAATACTTGCCCTCTCCCACTCATAGAGGAAAAGCATTTAAACAAGAAAACTGTATTTGAAAATGTAGGAAAAACATTCAGTTTACTTCACAGTACAAACCACAGAATAATTTAGGTTGGAAGGGACCTTTAAAGGTCATGCAGTTTCAACCCACAAGATTGCACTTTCTGTAATCTCATAATTTCCTTGCAATATTTTATTGTGTCACAAGTCCCACTGCATTAACGTCCTTCAAAAAGATCCTCTCGTTTTTCACTTTGGTTGCTCCCAAAAGGCCCTCTTTGCCACAAAGCTCTTTCTAGGAGATAACTGAACACTGCTTCATTCACAGCCATTTGCACCTGCCAAACACATCAGCTTATTTGGAATTTAAGAAAGGAGACAGAGCAAGCAGCCCTCAAGAGATTCAAGTTACTGTTTTAACCAACACAGGGCACATTCACATTTCTTACATCAACAAAACTTTCAGCTTCAGGTTTGCACACTAACATAACGTTAATGATACATTACCAACTACTCACTTTTGAAGACTAACATTTTAGTATTATTTTATCAAAGACAGATTCCACAGGAACAATTATATGGAAGTGCAACTTTGCGACAGAGGAAGGAAATCAGAGTTATCTTTGTGAAAAATTCCAGTAGCTGAAAATCAAGGTTAATTTCCAGTATTATTTTGCAACAAAGTATATTGAGTGAGATTAAAACTTTAATTTAAAGAAGATGACATGTCTCAGAATTCTAAGCAATTTGTCACAAGTTACCTACATAGGAAGTCTTCCAGGCAAGGATGACAATAAAAAATGAGTCAGACTGCAGCATACCAAGTTAAATAAGACAAAATTTCACAGGAAATTAATGCAAGTTCTAATGCCTTGACAAAAAAAGGTTAAATGCTTTTTGAACATATACCACCTTTTTGTAAGTACTTTTTATAAGTACTGTGATGTACTGAAGAATGTACAAGATAATCATAATACTCAAATTCCTTAGTAATACTGTTACTTAAACAAAGCCCCAAAAGAGTGTTGTCAGAGCACCCTGTGGTCATATAACACCAATGTGGATATAACAGCAGAGAAATGCAGTACTTGTGTGCTACTTTTACAGTTTTCCTGCCTAGAATTGTGTGATGTTTACTCACCTGCTGAATAATTTTGGAATCTTTTGGAAGGTTTTCCCTGGGTGGGACTTTTCCAAACAACTTCCAACCAGGAGCGCTTTGGACAGCAGGTTTGAGTTCTTTTGTCCTTTTAGTGAAAAAGTTTCTGAAAAGAGAGGAAGGGGGTTTTTTTGTTTATTATAAGCATATAAACAAAGTATATTGTGCCTACTTACATTTCTTCAATCTCTCTACCAGTTTACAGCTTAGGTGAACTGTAGAGATTTACTGCTAAGCAAACACATAGTGCATTCTACTTACAAATAATTAAATTGAAGTGGAGCATCTTTCATTACAGGTGCTTTGATGCTAATATTTGTACTTAACACTCAACTTTACCTCTGAACTACTTTATGCAGTATCAGAGCTCTTTTTTAGTAATAGCAGGCACTTTCTTAAATATAAACAGCACGCAGTAGGCCCTCAAACTCTTGTCTGAGGTTTGCTTTAAGTGTTTCTTACTGACTTATTTGGAGACTAAAATGACAACAGCTTTAAAACACCCTGTAACTTAAGGGATATTTTTTTAATGGTGAATTATTACTTCTACCTATCTTCACATCTCCAACTTCCATAGCATAGACCAGAAAACCAGGCAACAATCACACAGCTTCAGTTTAGAAGATAACCTTTACCAGTGCCTAAAGCAATTACACTCAAAGAGGCAGATGACTGCCTTGCTCTTACTTCTTAGAAAGCCAACCATCATAAGACTGTGTTGGTGACCACTTGTCAGATACTCAGCTGTGCTATTTGACTCCAACCACAAGTTCCCACAGAGCATGTTATATACAAGTGCTTTAAAAATGAAAGAAGTGTATTTATTCTGAATACTGGAAAGTTACTTTCCAGAAACTCATAACACAAAGGGATTAAAAGCTCAGTAGCCTGTAAGGTGATTTCTCAGGAAGCTTACTAGCTGACCTCAGAGAACAGAATAGGGAAGTGTTTTTGGTACACTGTTTTTGTACAGTGTTAACTAGTTAACTTCACACTCTTCTGTAAAGAGAGCAACAGATTTATTCTTCACTTAAAGTATTTTCTGTATTTAAAAATACAATTCCTTTTCAAATTGGAAGCAGTTACATTTGTGCACAGCAAACAGTCTCTTAGCTTAGCCCAGATAAATGGAGCATGCTTCAACAACCACAATCTGTCTGAAAAGTGCTCAGGGCTCTTAAATTCCAGTGCTGTCAGGGTTTCTGGCCCAGCAGTATAGTTTTACAATTAGGAACTGCTAGTGTTTGTAGGATGTTGTATGGTCTTCAAATACAAGCTATCTTTTTAGTTTCTGGAATGTTTTTTATTATTTAGGAAACAAGCAAATGCCTGTCAAAAATCCCTTCAGTGCAAGTTTGCATGAATGAACTCTACAGACTGTGAACTCGTGTGTAGTTGAGGATCTAGCCAACAGCAAAGAGCAAGCTGGAGAAATGGAGAAGTATGTGCTGATAGGGCATGGAAGCCTCCCAAAACTGATAAACTCAAGACTGGTGATTCTGTGGAATCCGGGAAAAACCAAGGAACCCAGAACACCAACTCTCTTCACTCCATTTGAGGCCACTGCCACACATTACCATCATCAACAGCTTGTCAAAAAATATTTAAAAGACTGCATTCAAGAAAACAGCAGTTGCCATAGGCAGGCTGGGAGTACAGGATTACACACACACACACACACAGAGCTGATGAAAGAGAACACCGTGAGAGATTTTTTTGGAATGCCCAGATAGAATCTGTTGGTGCCCCAGTACACTGTGCCACTTCTTTGGAGGTCTCCCAGATGTTGTTCCAAGCCAATTACTGGGAAAGTAATTGGGAATAACTGATTGCATGGTTTGAATCATTGTTTGCCATTAATGGAATCAAGTCACTGCTATTAATAATAGTTTAATTAATACAAATTGTTCTAGCAAGCATTGGCTCTGATCCATACATCCCACAACTCTGTCCCCATCAGAGAAATTTTTAATATCTTAGTCCATCCCTGTGGAAGCAAAGTAAGCATTCAGAAGCTCCAAGACAGTGGTTTCTGATACACAGCCTGGAACACAGGAACAATGAAAAAAACTAGCCATGGGACCCATGCCTTTAAAAAATAGCATCCTCAGTCAATCCCAGGACTGCACACCATTAGGGAAATGAAGAGATCCACTCAGTAAGACCAAAAAAAAGTGTGCTTACATGGATAACAAAGGCTTATTTCATAAGGACACTTTTCACAGTGCTTTACATTGTCTTCAGGAGGGAAGGAGGAGCATTCAAAGAATCAACAAAACAGGACAGAAGTTTTCTAAAGACAACATGTCTCTCTGCACTACCCCACAGCCTTGACCTTAAATCTGTAGCAGTTGTATTTGATTAGAGAAGACTTTTTCCCCAAAAGCAGGAATGCAGGAAGGTACATTCTGGAGTACCTTTCTTGACTTCATGGGTAGCAATAAGCATCCAGTCTCTGTACATACTTATAGAGTATCACCACGATTACTTGGCAGCTGAACTCCACTGCTTCTAGCATAGGTAGAAGCTGAAAGATGCATTTAACATTGATGGCAATCTGTCACTTTAGCAAAATTGGTTCATCATTAACCAGGAAGCTGGTAGATTTTTAAAAGAAAAAAAATGTGCAACATACAGAAGTTTTTAATTAATATTTCTATATAAAAGATTTAAGTATGCTCATGGCTTTCACAAGATTTAATGTTTCATTTTTTTCAAACAAAGAAAATATTAAAATAAACCTTCCAGAATGTAGTCTGGAAGAAAAGACGTTTTACTTTTATTGAGCACATATTCAATGAAGTCTGTTTCTTGTGAAGGCAAAAAGCTGGTAAAACTCTGAATCGTGTCAGAATAAACTTCACGCAGGAATTAATGAGAGATTACAAATAAGTTTGCTGAAGATGGAAGGACACTTTTTAATACATTGTTTTGGCAGCTAACAGTATCACATCTGATGTGCTCTTGACAGCAGTAAAGCCTTACAAAAGCCTTGTTAAGGAACAGCATCTGTGAATGCTTACAAGTTGCATTCACTGAACTGCAGGAAGTGTACTAGATTTGATGTATTTGTTGCTGCTTAGAATATTCATGAGTCTCACTGGTCCTGGGAAGAGTCAACTATTGAAATTGCTGAAAAGTCAATAGCATTTTGGTACAGAATCTCAAAATCCTCAAAATTCCTTTAAGAAGAGCCTGCACTTTAGAATTGAACAATTCTTTCTGTTGCAAGGACCCACGGGACACAAGTATTAAATTAGTTCATTGATTTAAGCTCTGGTTTACAAAAGCCCAGGGGAAAGCTGCAAGGGTTTTTTTTTTTCCCTGCTTCTTTTATATAACACATATTAACACTCTCAAATGACACTCCAAAATGTTTCAGTAGGTGCCTTGAAGAGCTCGAAAGCCAAATGAAGTGATACAAAATGAGAAGTTATTGGCACAGACTTAGACATCCATCTATTGCTAACATAGTTTGGATTATGTTAAACAAAACTATGGGCTGTGATCACACAACTACAACAGCTGTAATGACAGCTATGACTGGTGAGTTTCCCCCTTATTTTTAACAGTGTTGCTTCAACTATTCCTGTCTGTGCCCAGGATAATCTGTGCAAGTTTCACCATATTGGTACTATATCAATTCAAGAATATTATCCATTTCTACAGGTGACATTAACACTATGTTCTACTAATGAAATTGCTTATTTCCACTCCACTTTTGCTTCTAAAATCACTTTTTTTGTTGCTATTTAAGATTAATTAGCATAGTCTAAATGCAATTAGAATTAAGTCTCAGAAGGGGATAGGTGGAGCTTGATACTTCAGCAATTTTTTTAATTTACTTTGAGGTTTTAGATTCCCCTTCCCCCCAAAAAAATCTCAACACAAAAAACTTCATTCTGATTTCCAAGCTAGCTATTGGTCTGTCCAAGAGGATGAGGTTTCCAAGATTTAGAGGAAGTTACTGGAAAATATGAGACAATTACTTCAACCTGGATCTTAAATTTTTTCCAAAACCACATTTGCACAACACCCACTCAAAGAAAGCTGAAGTGCTTTGAACAGCGGCAACCATGAACATCAGCAGGTAGGAAAGGCTCCAGGGCAGATACACCTCCAGCACTCTGCCCCTAGGTATAATTGAGTCACCTCTCCACAAGAACAAGAGTCTGACAAGAATTTTGTTTGACCAAAAACATCAAACTAATCTAGTTTCAAGCTACACATAATTTTGCTACAGTTCTTTCCACAAAGGTAACATATATAGATCTTCCCTTTGTACAGCTCCACTGTGTGCCACAAACTATCAGTGCTCCACTGCTTTGTGCCTCCCACAAAACCTCAAGTAGCTTTCCTTCCCAATCATTAGAACTCCATATGCAGGCTCAAATTTCACCTAATTCTGACACTTTTAGCAATCTATAGGCAGATTTCAGGTGTAGAGGGAGGTTGGATGTTACACCTGAGCCTTTTAGGATGAATATCAGTATAAAGCATACTAAAAATTAGACTACTTTTCTCTAATTTATTCATCTTGCACTACAGAAAAATGGCAAAATTCAAGTGGTCTCAGTGGAGAGCATAAACCATGTGATCATCTTTATCTTTTTTTACTCATGAGGAAAGTATGTTTCCTTACAGTTCACTTTAATATGCAAATAAATTTAATTTAAAATACTGCATTACATTGAATAAAAAAGAAAAGCCCAAAACAAAACACACACACACACCCAAAAACACATACAAAAACCCAGAAAACATTCAAACGAACAAACAGGGGGAAAACAAAACGACTAAACTATGGGCATTCCACATAGTGTGGCACCAAAGAAGCATTTCCTTTCCAAATAAAATATTCAGAATTTAGAATTATTTTTCAAATAAATTAATGCTGTGTTTATATCTCAATGCTGAAAGGTAAACTACTATTCTCTGATTTCTCATCCTTACAAGATAACTTCGAGCTTGCTCAAAATGTTTACTCATTAATTTACAAATAAAATAGCTCCAAAAAGAGATCTCAAGTTATACTAGCACAGTAGAAGTTACTTTTTCAGATAATAAAAGCTAACTGTCAAAATATTTTTCTGACTTTTACTTTACACACAACAATTTAGTTTACTGTCATTTTCCATCATCAAGCAGTTCTTCTCATTGCATCCATCTTTCAAGAGCTTTGATAACAGGGAAGTTGTTATGCTGAGAAAACAAGATTTGAAAGCTGCAAGAACTGACAGAGGAAGTGAGGGCTGATTGGATTTTCCTTTTGATTAAGCATCTAGTACCTGTTAGCAAACACTGCATAAGACAACTGCATCATTTTAAATCCAGGGAAGCAAAGCACAAACAGGAAGGAATCAGCATCTCATCAAGAACATCCTCACTCTATCATATATAGCTTTTCCTCACAGAATCACAAAGGCTTAGAAGGGAAATCCAGCATGGAAGTAATGCTACAAATGAGCACCAAGTTGGACAAAAAAACCAGTACATTTTCTCTCTGTTTTTAATAGAGTTATAAAAATGCAGTTAAAAGCCTTGAAGTTAAATTTCCCTGCAATAAAGTCTATTGATTCCAATAAAACTTCAGAATGTGCAAAAGGAATGAAGTAACAAAATTCATTAAAAACTGCATTTGTATCACAAAACAACTGATTTTGCATCTCCACGAAGAAGAGTGTTCTGCTTGTACATGCAATCTGCTCTTGCTCCACCCCAGGCTAATTTTTTAATAAACTTCATAGGCATACAAAATAGGTGTATGTTTGAAACTTGATGAAATTTGAATTAGCTGAAAGACGAGCTGATAAGGAAATTACTGATTTACCCAACAATCTTTATCCAGAGAGCTGAATCAGTAAGGAGTTAGAAGAGGCATGTTCCAGGAATTGCTGTAGATACATTTTTACAGATAGAAAACACTAAAATAAGTAGTTTTTACTTAAAGCCATACTTTTAGAACAAATTTGACGACCTCTACAAGTCTGCAATTCCATATTCTGTCATGACTGTAGCCAAATACATAACAAGAACTATTACATTCATATTGGCATCTCTTTACCAGGCATAAAACACAAAATCTGCTTAAGAACACAGCAGAATTCTCCAAACTCCAGTCTTGGCCATTCTGTTAAGGTCTCATGTGCAATAATTTGGAAATAACAGCAGACAAAAAAACATTGCTTTATTAAGCAGAATTAGGCCCTCTGCTTTAAACAAGACTTTTCAATAATTTACATGCAGAAACAAAGGTAACTCAACTCTAAACATAAATAATGAAACATTGAAAGGAAATAAAACCTTTTTGGTTGGCCACTTACAAAGCCTGCAGAGCAACAGGCATTCTACATTTTTAATTTCAATGGCTTCAAGTGTCAGCCCATTTTGATCCAACACATTCATGATTACTCTCAGCACAAGTTTCAAAGCTCTGCCCAATATTGGAAGAGATGTGACCCAACCAATTTTACAGTTTACATTTTCCACCATTTTGCTACAAGAGGCAGCTAGATATAAGCTTCTCTTTTAATTTTATTACCTCAACCACAGATTTGTAACAGGAGGTTTCTAGTTTTAGCACCTTCTAGATGTAAATATCTCCTTTTTCTCTCTGCACCAAGACAACCCAAAGAATATCCCAAACTACCCTCTCCAAAGGAGCTTCAATGTTTCTAATACTCTAAACCTGCAGTCTTAAGTGCTATACAAACAAGCTTTTGGCCTCTCTTCCCTTCCAATCCCTACACACACACACACAAAAAAAAAAAAAAAGAAAAAAAAAAGAAAAAGAAGAAAAAAAGTAAAAATCCTACCCAGAACAACAATCACCTTCAGCAAGACCAAACTTATACTTTTTCTTTCAATTAAATATAGTGTCTCCATTTATGTTAGTGGTCAACTAAAGCCTTTGCTACAATTAGGTATACCTGAAATTTAATGAACTGTCAAGGACTAGCTGCTGAGGATTGAGAGGTTGGGAAGGAGGTGGTGGCTTCTGGTGCCCTGGAGAGGACAAAGATTGACAGAACTATCATGGAACTGCACTGATGAGACAAAATTAGATCAACCCTCTTATCAAGCTCCTAGTGAATACCAGTCCCAAAGTGGCTTTACAAACTCCGCTGGCAGAACAGTTTTATTACAGGTACACAAACACTTGGGAAGTTTTAAGAGTTGGAAGTGTTTAGCAGTATTACAGAACACTTTGTACACTCACTGATATTACAGAACACTCACTGATAAATAGTATTTTACCAGACTACATTATAGTCCTAACAAAGAGCCGTTGCACAGGTCAGCTTTACAAGCAGTTCAAGCTTTCAAAAACATACATAAACAAGCAGACACATAAGCAAGGTAACTGGCAGGGTTAAATTTCAGAATGGTTTAATACAAATAAAGGAAGATAATCAGTCTTTACTTTTCAGAGGGAAGTAGCAAAACGGAGCTTTATGCCAGAACTGTTCTATCATCTTCACATTTGGTAAGGCAG